TTTCTACTCCCGTAAGATTTACACCCTCGGAAACCCTGTACAGGGTCGCTATGGGTCGGACCCGACTCGATGGCACTTAACAACAACAACAACAAGAGGTTCTTAACTATTTAGCGGTCCAAAAAAAAAGCTCTGAAGAATCCAAACTAGAAATGCAGGGAACACCAATGTCTCTAGAACTGGAGTACCAATGTGTGAGAATCAGGTTTTGTGCCAACTTGTTTGAACAGGAGTCCCAGTTGTTTGGCAGGTGATAGTTAACGCTATGATGACGGGCTATGAGAAGCCAATCAATTGAAAGGATGTTTCCTTGGGGGTGTGGCCTGCTCCCAATGTAACAGGCAAGCAGAAAAGACTCGCACTCTTCGCTACTGAGTCCAGATCTCGCATGTGGATCATCCTCCAACATCCGGTTCTTTGAACCTGAGCCAGTGGCCTTCGCTTTGTGGATTTGCCTGCCAGTTCTGCCCACTGAGTGTGCCTGGGAAATTGCATGTCCACCAGAGGACCTTGCATGCCTGTTCCTATTGGCCCAGCTCCTGTGCCCCACACCACCAGTTCTGCAGTGCACCTACCCAGGCCTTGGTCAACCATCACCCTACTTTCTCATCTTACAAGTCCAACCCACCATGTCCCAGGAAAATTCTGAAGGTGAACACTTCCTGATCAAATTGCCTAGGCCCCTCAGAATAGAGGTGGGGATCCACACTCAGTACAAAGTCCAGTTGGATAAAGCAAACTATATTGCAGAGGATTCAACCTTTCTCCTTTCATATACAGACAGTATAAAATGCTCACAGAGTATTTTTTCACAACCAAAGTAAAATAAATTTCCACAGTCAAATTCCACCAACACTGATCCAGCTCAAATAAAAGTCCATTTTTTTTTCTTCTTGTTACAGGAACACAAGACATGAATCGACAATTCTCAGAGTCACCCACATGACTTCCAGTGCCATCCAGCACTCTCCTCAAAGTCTTTCACTTTGGGGAGTCTGAAGCTCCAAATAGAGCCATCATGAGGGGACTAGGACCAAAATAGGTCCTTATGGGGGCACAATTCTGGGGCCAGAGGGGAGTAATGGATATTCAACCCCTGGGAGAACATCCTCACCACCAGAGCCAGATCTCAGCCCCTCCTCAGGAGGGCTCATTTGCTCATTCAAAGAAGAAGGCAATTTGTTAAGAAGCACAGGTGTTCCCTTGGGCCCACCTGCCATGGAACAGATAGTGAGGGATGGGGTTCCTGACCTAATCATGAAATACGGAAAGAGGGTCCCAGAGAAGGAAACGTGAGAGAATGAGAAAATATGAGACCCATCAGTCATGTTGTAGAAGGAGACATCCCCACCATCATAGTCCAGGAAAACCCCCACCTGGCAGAGATCCTGTCTACAAAATAAGTATTTTCGGTGGGTAGCACTGGCATAAACCCTACCTAAAGTATATCCCACAGCCCAAAACCCCTTTCTTGGGCGCTCTATGAACTTCCTATTCCTATCCACATCTTCCCTACAAACACCCACAGCCCACTTGCTTAAGTATCTATTGCTGATTTCTATTTCCCAGTAACATCTCCCTGACATGATGCCCTTGGCACCCAACACACTGCATCTGTCATCACTCAGGTCCTCACAGTTGTCCTTCATGGTCACCCTCATGTTTTCCTGAGAGAGGGCAAGGTAGGGATGGGCAGAATCTGGATCCAGAGTGACAGACCCTGTAAAGAGAGTTAGCAAATCATGCCAGCCCCTCCCCTGCATTATAATAAGGACACAAATACACCTTCCCTCAGACCTACTTAGTGCCATGATTAGATGGCTAAGCACCCTAAACTGAGAGCTAGTGATTCAAGTCCACAGGCCTCCACACAGGATAAGGAACTAAAAGGCTGATTTGGGAGTTCCAGTTTGGGCCAACATTAGTCACACCCTCTAGCCTTAGCTACATGACTATCCCCTTCCCAACCCACCAGCCACTACCAATGGTATCTGCATCTGTATCACCATGAAGAACCAAAGCAGAGGGCAGAAACTCCCAGGCAAGGAGAACTCTCAGAAAGATCTTCCAAGTCACTCACAAATCTGGAAGTGCTCCTTCCGCCAGTCTAAAAAAAGAACCAACAATTTCATGTCAGATTACAGACTTTGCACATTAGAATCAACACCTTTTCTTATAAAACCTATTGATGCAGGAGTTCAAGGGGGAAACGTTTTGGAAACATAAAACTGACGTATTTATTTTTCTCTGTCTCACACACCCAGAACACTCACCTTCCCATGAAACCTTGCAGCTTTCCCCAGAAAGCTAAACCATGAGACTGAACACAGTCTACTTGAACAAAAAAATGTCATTGCCCAGTTTTGGCTATGAAAGTATACTTTCTAACCAGGCCAACTACATTTAAACCTAGGTTTTGTTGAAAAATAATTGAGGAAATTAGAGTATCAAAGACATCTATTTACTTATTAACTGTTGCTAGAGCTAAACTTGAAAGGTGACTCTAAACAATCATAGAGAGAAACACAAATGGCTGCACTGAACTTACAGAATAGCTGTAAGTCATGTTGTGATTAAGTTCCATGAAATTGGTTTCGACTCATAACAACTCTGTACAGGGTTTCCAAAGCTTTAAATCTTCTGTACAAGGAGAGGAGTCATCTTTCTCCTGCAGAGTAGCTAGTGAAGACACATCGCATGTCCTGAATTTTCTTCCTTTATAGCTTATAGTCATGGAACATGGTGGTTCCATAGGACATGGCAATAACTGACCCAAGTTAAAAGTCAATAGAGCAATTATCAAGAAAGAAGAGAGAGAAGTTCAAAGCATGAAGCACATACACACAGTAAGAGATCAGATACTAGTGATCTGTCTCTCTTCATTAGGCACTGGGAGCAAAAACACTCAGTTATCCATAGGAAAATTGAAAAACATTTAATCTATCTATTCCCTTCCTCCAAGAATAGCCCAGAGATATTGCAGGCTTCCAGGAGAAACCCTACTGTGGTAAATAGAATACTGGTCACAAAGATTTCTATATCCTAAGTCTCAGAACCTGTGACTATGTTACCATACATGTTCCTCCCTCCCCTCGTGTTGTTGTTAAGTGCCATTGAGTCAAAGCCAACCAATAATGACCCTTTATAGGGTTTCTTAGGAGTGACTGGTGAGCTTGAACCACCAACCTTGTGGTTCAAACCAACTTTGTAGTCCAGCTCATTAACCCACAGTGCCACCAGACATGATTGTTGTTGTTTTTAAATGCTATTGAGTCAGTTCCAACTCATAGTGACCTTGTACATGGTTTCCAAGGAGCAGCTGGTGGAATTGGTTCATTCTGCCATTGCATTAGTTACAAAGTAAGCCATCTCAGGAGAAGGAAAAGGAGATCCATTACCATCAAGAAAGAAGAGTCACGATAGAGTGAGTTCTTTGGATCCTGAGATCCTTATGCACTGAGGACATCAGTCCATCAAGACCTTGTTCTGTTTGTAGCTGACCTTGTTCTGTTTGTAGCAAGGTCATATCTTAAATCTCTTCCAATCTCCTACAAATTTCAGGCTGACTATGCCATAATCTTCCCTACTAAAGTAACGAAAGTTGGAACCCTCCATAAAGCCACCTCAGCCTACTAACTGAGCTATAGGCTCTGAGTCAAGTCTGCATTTAGTAAAGGGTCTAATAACTCAATTCAAAACACTATCATCATAGACACTTGAGGGGGAGAGAAAGGAACAGCCAGAAATATCACCATAGAAAGCTTGTATGTCCTTCTTTGGCCTATAAGTTATTAGAATATCTAAAATGGTTCTACAACATGCCCAGTGAAGGAGGCTTCCTGTGGAGCCTCTGCATTACATAAGACCATAGGTAGAATCCTGAACCCCATCCAGAATCTTCTAGGTGGGAAATTTCCACTTGAAAGGACAAGCAGACCAGTCTGGAGCAGCTTGAAGAACAGAAGATGCTTCTTGAAGGAAAGATTGACAGGAAAAACACAAAACAATAACAGCAGTCCAAATGATTACTACAAGAACAAGCAAGTTGTTCACCCAGGAGACATCAAGGCAAGTGGTTGGGTCCTCTCAGGGCAAACCCCCTGCCAAAACTAAGACTCAATGGGAATTCATGAACAGACATGCACTCAGATTGGTGACCACATTGTTCATCAATAAGTGGAAGTGAAGGAAAAACAGCAATGAAGCTGCAAGCTAAGCCCAGCAATGTTCAATAGACTCCTGTGAACCCAGGTGGAGAGCTGGTTAGCCAGCAGTATGGCAAGACCTGAGGACTTGTGGGCCCAGAGTCAGTGACATAGCCATAGAGGACTAGAGTGGAGAGTGAAACATCCAGCTGATAAGAAGAAAGGGCATATGCATAAAAACACTCACACCTGCAGACTATACCCACTTGACCTGGCTTCAATGGCTGGATGATCAGAGCTCAACCAGAAGAAGAAAGAAGAGGAAAAAAAGAGTAATCAGATACAATTTAATGAACTTGACCTAAACCTATGGATGCAGTAGCTTAAAAGAAGGAACAAATCTTTACAGCGAGGATCATTCCCACGAGGATCATTCCCACCCTCTCGATACACAGGGTAGACAGGGATGGGCAACTTGGACATTGGCTACCCCAAATGGAGGGGGCTACAAAGTCAAGAAGTGACTGGTTTATAAGCTTTCAAGAGGGAGCCTAGATCCAGAGGGCATGTAGGAAAGTAGACTCTCCACTGAGTAGTATCCAATCTGTCTGGGCAAGGCTGATAAAAGGAGATGGGGATAGGTCTCTTGTGGTACAATAGTGAATAATTGTTATCAGGACTGATTGTGAGGGTTGGAAATGTAAAGGTAGATGTTTTGTAGCAAAAAGAGGGGAGTGATTGAGTTTGCAGTCTAGGAGCAGAGGTCTCTGGGACCATCAAGGGAGAAGAGCGGAGTGTGGGACCATACACAGAGAAACAGTGACACCAGAGATGGAGGCGGAGACGATGATATGGAGAGATAGAGAAGCTGGAGACTCTAGACCCAGAGAAGGTGAGGAGCTGTATGCTGACAACTGGGGGGCAGGTTTGCAGGGTATACCCTTTGGTTGGTTGATGATGCATGGAGGGGACTGGAACCATGGCAATGAAACCATATAAAATAGGATAAATGTAAAGCTAGTGTTCTCCCATGTAAACTATCACATAATTCACAATAAAACATTTTTTTTAAATAAACACTATCATCAAGTAAATTCCAAATCATAGCAAACCTATACCAGGTTTCTGAGAGTCTTAAGTATTTACAAGAGCACACAGCCTCATCTTTTTACTGCAAATCAGCTATTGGATTTGAACTTGAAGTTAGCAGCGCAATACCCAACCCACAACACCACCAGGATCAACATTTATTCACAGAACTGATATGTGATTGGATTTTTTCATGTTTTTGGACTATTGTGAAAACCAAGGGGGTTTTCAACATAAGCTGTGCTGAAATTTAAACATAGCCAATTCATTCAGGAACTATTAAATGCACTATTATTACCAAAAGCCTTGTTGTTGTGATTGTTAGGTTCCATCAAGTCGGTACCAAGTCATAGCGACCCCAGCACAGCAGAACAAAACACTTTCTGATCCTATACCAAACTCACAATCATTGCTGAGCTTGAACCCATTGCTGTTACTACTGTGCCAATCCCTCTCATTGGAGGTCTTCCTCTTTTTCTCCAACTCTCCACTTTACCAAGTATAATGTCCTGCTCCAGGGACTGGTCCCTCCTGATAATATGCCCAAAGTATGATAGAAAAAGTCTGGTCATCCTGGCTTCTAAGGAGCGGCCATTATTAAAATACAAACTAACCAAAGGGAGTTTACTTCTGCAGAATTTAAAGTATTGTACTAAGTCTTTCCCTTTCATCTACTAGGACATTGCTCATGCCATTCTCTATCTTATGGGGGTGGTAGAGAGAACAAACTCAGATGTTAAGAATCAAATCGTTGAAATTTGTAATTCTTTAGAACTTTCCTTAGTGTCACTGAATTCCAGATCAGTATCCTTTGGAAAACATGAACTCACAGTCTATGAAATTATTATCAGAAAATCCATGATCTTGCCTAGTGCTAAATTTATAGATCCAAATAGACTTCAACTCTATTGTTAGGTTACTAGATACTGTCAAGTTGGCTCCAGCTTATAGCAGTCCTATGCACAACAGAACAATACATGCCTGTCCTGCATCATCATACAAAGCTTGTGTCCATTATGATACTCTCTGTCTCTTAACTGGTATATTTAACCCATTTATATTCAGTGTGATTATTAATAGGTATGCACTGATTGCTATCATTTTGCTGTGTGGCTTTTTTCTCATATTGCTGGTTTCTTTGTTCCACATACATTTCTGCACTGAGTTCATTTCGTTTGTGGGTTTTCTTTTCATTTTCTTCATTACTGTTATTTTAAGTTTACTAAATCTCTCTGATTTTCCTCTTTTTATTTTCATGTGAAAGTGTATTGATTTTTGTTGAGGTTGCCCTGTAATTTGTCGGGGACTGGCAACATAGTTGTGTTGTTCACGAGTGTTTGGTTCACGAGGAGGGGAGACCCAGCAGCAATAGGGACAGCAAAAGAATACACAGAAAGACAGAAGGAAGAAGACAACGAGACACCCCAAAACCAGGGTGGATACATCACTGGTGGGCAGGCTTGGGACTACAGGCATCATGGGCTCTGCAGGCAGCAACGCACTGCTCTGCAAACTGTACTGCATGCCCTCCAACTAAAGCACACTTCCACCGCCTGCCTGTACTGCCCAGCCAGCAAGCTGTAATGCACAGTCTGCAAGCCGTAAGACACGGCTTGCCAAGCTGTAAAGCATGCCTTCACTGCCTGCCTGTTCGTAATGCACGGTCTCACTGCATGCCTGTAATGCACCCCTGGGCCAGCCTGCGTCTCAGTTTTATGTAGGGGAGGAGCTTCACACCAAGCTGGAAGGGACTAAAACAGGATACAGCTAACATCAGTAATTTTCCAGACACTCAGGTAACTTTACATTGTACTTTGCTGGTTCGAATCCCAGGCCTGCAACTTGGTTTCTCAGGCTCAATTAACATATCTAT